GCTAGAGATGTAGTGACGTGTATCATATCATGATGCTTAGGGGAGACTGGTGAAAGTAAGCTACTTAAATTCAGTTGAAAACAACAAATTTGTATTAAGAAATTCACTATGCAGTTTACTATTTATTAAAGTGTTCATGTATTGACAAAGATTTATTGTACTTACTTTGTGGCAGGATTGTGTAGGAGGTTGAGCTATTATAAAGACCAATAAAGAAAGACCTGCCACACTTGCCTGCCCTATACCCTAGCCCCATATTGGTCCTTGTTCAATTCAGATCAACAACATATTGCACATTCTTATATTTTCTCTCACACATCATTTATAGAAAAATTTCAATCCACCTGACTGCAATTTCCCAAACGTTAGACTGAAACCCAAATCTTAAGCACTATTTTCAGTGGCTACTATTATTGCTATTACTTCTGCTGCTTCAAAAAAAAATCCATGCAAGACAATACTAAAAAGTAAAGACTGTTCTGATATTTATTATGTAACAGTGTTTAAAGACCTATTTTTTAATGCTGAGGCAGAATTATAAAGATAATTGTGATGTTTAGGTTTTTTTTTTTAATTTTCTTGGGGCAGAATGTCTCTTGGATCAATATTCCCTAAATTGCGGAAATTCTCAGCAAAGCTTAGTGCCTGTTTTGCATTATCAAATCCAGTCACCTGGGGTTCCAACAATACTAGTTATATGTGGACTAAGTTTTACATCCATTATATTATTTAATCCTAACAACAAAGCCCTTGAGGAAATATGATGCGGAGGAGGGTACAAGGTAACATTGCATCAGTGGAACTAATTAAGCATAGGAAGAGTAAGGCAACAAAAACTATTCTTAAGCCAACAGAGCAGCTGAGGAGTCCTGGATACAGCAGAAACAAAAGTTGTGTTAGTTAGTGATTCCTTTTTTGAGTCTATAGAAAGGTCAGCCTTGGAGTCCTGGCCAGTGGACAAGTCTATTATCACAGAAGTATCCCTGTTCATGAAAAAAGTGATGCTGAGCAGAAATAAAGGCCTGGCCTGCAGACCTGCTCAGCACCTGGTGATTTGTATGACTCCTGCATGACCCTAGGAGAACAGAGAAGGGAAGGATCTTTAGATATTCCAAAGTTTTGGATAGTAAACTGAACTACTTGGAATCACAGATGGTGTTTTCATCACTATCTTTCCAACAGTTGGGACTTTGGAAGGGACGGAGAAGTCTTGGATGTGAACAATTGGCTGTGCAGATGGTGATGGTGAACTGGTTTGGCCAACAGTTTTAAATTCCATACTGACAGATTTATATCCACAGAAGAATAAAGAGGAAGGGAAGGAAGAGAAAAGGGAGGAAGAAAAATGTACAAAGTATAAGAGCACACAAGTAAGAGAAGAACGTGTAATGTTTCTTTATGCACAATCTCTTTAAGTAGAAAGAATCATAAGGTCACATTAAAAATAACCCCACCGAGGGCCTGGGGATTTAGCTCAGCAGCACAGCGCCTGCCTAGCAAGCACAAGGTCGTGAGTTCGATTCCTGGTACTGGAAAAAAAAAAAAATAGCCCCACCAGGGTACCACCCAGGGATGCAAAAAGTTTGCTAAGTTTCAGCTGATAAATAACTCTTAATAATGTAATTAAACTTGTAATTTGACACTCATAATGTAGATATGATATCTACGGATCCAAAATGGAGGAATTTCCCAGAGAATTCAAACTACCCATTGAAGTCGACTTTATATTAGAGTATTTGACAAAATAGTAAGACAAGTGAAGTTCAGCAGAAGACACTTTTTACAATGCGGAGGTAAAACAGAAAGAGAAAAAGCATTCCTAACAGTGGAATTACTGCTTTTTCTTATAAACTCTGGGCTACTAATGGCTTTAGATTAGGAAATTTATATATAAAAATTAAACAGTCATCTAATACCCGTTTTTAATATATGTACATAGAATAAAAAGGGACAGAGATTTTTGCATTACAGTTTTATACAGGATTTTTATACTAAAATTGTGAAATAAAATATAATCAAAATTGAAAGTGATGTGAAAACCAAAAAAATAGTTTCAGAATGTCAAGAGTAACATTCATTTTTACCTTTAAAATATAGATGGTATGTAAAAGGGAACCCATTATCTACTTACAGAGTAGATAGTCATGTATGATGCAATATCAGATCTACAACTATTATGTGAATATCAGAGGAAGAGAAAAGCTCTCCAGGGACAAATCAAGAAGCTTGAAGGGAGAGAAGACAAGCAGAAAGAGTCAGAGAAGAACAGCTCAGGGCAGTCAGGAGGGACTGTCACCCTAGCCAGTCTGAGAAAAGGGGAAAACACAGGATATGGGGTTTAAAACATGAGATGAGGCTTCTGAAAGACTTCTTCATACCTGATCAAAAGGAAATTGTGTTTGTAATATGAGTGGCAGAAACATTTAAAGATGTTAGGCTGCTGTTGAAGTACATAGGAAAAATTTGGTTCCTCTGATCAGAATGAGTTAGTTTTTCTTTTTCTATCTCTTTGCAGTACTGCAGTTTTAAGTTGTATTTAGAAGGCAGATCTCCTTAACTGGACAGAAGCTAGCTCACAAAGCAGTTCCAACAACCCTTTCTCGCAATTGCAAGTCTTCTTACCTAAGTCTGTGGCTTGAACCTCACCATCCTTAGAAAGTAGATTCTTTATTTTCTATATTTGATGATGAATAACATCTTTCCTGTTTTAGAATGAATTCTGCTAGCAAACCCAGCAGGGGGCAGGAAAGGAAAACTTGGCTGCGTTTTCTGAGGCAGTAGTTGTCGCCTCCGGTGTCAGCATGGTCTCCACCTTCAGGAGATGCTGCCTCTCTTTGTGACAAGTGGTTTTATCCTTGTAAGGGGAGAGACCTCTTACCTCATAGGGATTCATTCCCTCATGTGTCTTTCATATGGCGCAGGGGTGTGTCCCCAGAGACACAGTGACAGAAATCTTCTTCACATCAGTTGATCATTATGCTCTTCAAGAGCTAAAAAAAAAGCTGTTTCCTTGCATTCTTTGCTCCTTTTAGTTCATGCTAGCCTAGTAATTTGTTTTCTGAAAATGTTGATGCTTGTTTCCATTCCTGGGGCCAGTCAAGACCCTGGATTCCTATTCCAAGTTCATGACCATAACGCGTGACAAGCACTCAGTAAAAGATGTCAGGAGAGCGGCCATGAACAGGCGACCCTGGTCACTGCAGAGCTTCGGAAAGCAGTTCATCAAAAATAGGGTTTATTTTTAACCTACAGTAAACCTTCTTTTAATTACGCATATAATTTGCTATGAAGAGAACTGACTGTTTTCTAAATCAATCTCCTATTATTTTTGGAGATGACTCTCTTTAGCTATTTGATGTAGAATTAACATTTCAGGCAGCTTTTACCTTCATGCTTTTCGCATCCTGTAGTGAAATTTCAAAGCACACTGACTCTTCCTCAGATTCACTGTTTCACTTCTTCAGTGTGAGGCTGAGAGCTATTTCTTGTCTCTAAAAATTGTAGGTCTAGTGAAAAGTTTGGACAAGTACTCGGTCAGATCCCTCGTGCTCCATGCCAGCAGCAGGACAGAAATAGTTTTGGCCTGGCAGTTTCAGGGCAGGTGTTACCAGTTGGTTGCCTAAACCAAGGAAGAAACCTCCTGGCCTTTTTAAATGCCTGATTGTGAGCAAGTGCTACCTCCCGTGGGCCTGCCAGGGAGAATCAGTTTCCGAATGCACTGACAGGAAGTGGACTGAATTAAATTGTTGGATAGACTAGGAATGTGTCCTTAAGTGTTGAAGAAAATCTGTGCAAAACAAGTCTTGGTTTTGGCACCACTGAAATTGTCTAGATGGTCTTTAACCAAGAGATCCTGCTGCTTCTATTGGAGTTTCGTGATTCACATGGGAAAAGCAAGGCATAAGGCGGTCTTTTATAAAACACAAAGTGCTACAACAATGAAGGCAAAATATTACCACACTGTGCTAGTCTTACGAATCTAAAGATTACAAAATATATAGGCATCCTGCTTTCTGAAATGTAACTGTTCTTCACTTTGAGGAACAAAGACATTTTTGAAAAAAAAAAAAAACCTTTATTGTAGTCAAATTTAAATTTCTAATAGTCTCTCAGGATTAAAAAAAAAAAAAAATGATATGACTGTCAGGAAAATAACCCCTACAGAGAAATTTGTTATTAGTTTTAAGTAGAAAATAAAAAATGAAGCCTCTTTAGTGGTATTTACATATTTAGAGAACATGTTCTCTTTGATAAACACTAACTATTTCACCACCTAGCAAACTGAACAAAGCACATACTACACAGTTTAGGTTATAATTTCATGAGGTCCCCAGTTCACTGATGGATTCCAGAACTCCCGGGTTCCCACAGTCTTATCTGTACCTGCTCACTGTTCAGGTCTTTTCCTTTCTCCTTTACTCAATTTTGTAGGTTTCCATTTTTCAAAAACTCTCTCCTTAGCAAATCCTGTGTGAGTCTCACTTAACACCTCCAAAAGACCATTTACCTCTGGACCTATAATAATGTGAATCTCCATTCAAAAATGGCAGAGTTTGGTGTCCAAACCAGGCAGGTGGTTCTCAGTGTGCTGAGGGATTTCATGTCTTTGCTTTTCCACGTTATTTGAAATGCCTGATAACTTTTGTGCACCACTTTGCATTTAACTCATTCCAAGAAAGTAAAAAATACCATCAGTGTTTAAGGGCTGATGGATCCATAGCTCCAGTTCGTTTCAAGAACTCCAGAGTCACTGACTAAGAGCCCAAGACTATGTATCTCTCTCCGGCTACCTTCAGAATGAGAATGGCTTTAGGGGAGGGTGTGTGTTCACCTAGATGCCCAGCCTACTCATACACCACTTGGGTTTGAATGGATTTGCAGCTTAAGAAGCCTTTCAGACCTACTTCTTAAGAAACCTCACTTCCATGCTTCACTACTCTGAAATTTGGTAACACTATGTACTGCTAACTGCTGCCTTTTGTTCTGGTTCATTTACACAGGTAACCACACTGACTCAGGAGGTATCCCAGTTAGGTAAAGACATGAGGAATGTGATGCAGCTTCTGGAAAATGTTCTGTCACCTCAGCGGCCATCCCAGATTTGCTCTTTGCATGCCACCTCCGTGTGTCCCTCCAGGGAAAGCTTACAGACCAGGATGAGCTGGAGCACACACCAACCTTGCCTGCACTTGCAAACAGGTGTGGCTGCCTATAACCAAGCACAGCTTTGTCATGGTAATGTCACTTCTGACATTTGGAGTATGGATCCATCCTCTGTGGGGAGCAGCCCCCAGCAAACTGGAGTTCATGAGCGAAATCCTGCAGACAGTGACCTTTGTCATTCTCCAAACCTGGGTTACTCACCTTCTCGCTACCAGGTCGTCCAAGAAGGTCATTTACAATTTCTAAGGTGCATCTCTCCACATTCAGACACTACGCTGACGCCTTTGCAGTCTATTTCAGCAACACTGTCATCCTCCATCTGTTCCTCCTCAGAAACATCCTTGCACCTGGTTCTCCCAAGCAGATCAGAGGAGGGCAGCTTCAATCAGGGACCTGTTAGCTCCTTCAGTCTGGAAAACTTGCCAGGCTCTTGGGACCAAGAAGGAACAGCGTCTGTCTCTACCAAACCCTTGGAGAACTTTCCCCTGGAAGTTATCACAAGCACAGCAGAAGTGAAAGACAACAAAGCCATAAATGTATGATATCAACACATAGGATGCAACTGCCAATTTCAAACCCACAAATGCATGACAGCTTTAGTTTGCCTTTTTTGCCTCTGGCGGACATGAAGACTGAGCAAAGATGGGAACCCTACAAGAGAGTGTAAGAAGCCAGGGGAAGGCAGAGCCACCTCCACACTGTAGCAAACAATTTCTAGATCCTAGAGCATAATACAAACATTTTTCTGTACAGGTATTTACTTACTGGTCTGTCTGACAGACTTTGGTAAAAGTCCAGGGACCTGGAGATTCTAAGCAGCTAGAAGTCCAAGACAAAGATTTTGTGGATTAGTTTTGTCCTAGGTGGCTTTTGTGAAGTGCAGCAAAGGTTTTTCCTGAGTGCCTGCTTGTCATTCCTGAACAATATCCGTAGCACCATTGGCCTTGGGAGTGCGCAGCTCCTGCTGATCTATTTTTCTTTTTGTGAAGGCAAAGGGACAATTATCACTGCATGTCCTCTCCTAGACAATCAGTCAAGTAGAGCTGGTGGCCAGTGGTTAGCTATTCGCACGTTATTTGCCATGTAAATGAAAACGTCTTTATTTATCAAAGAAGAAGCTATTTTTATATCCTTGGTATGAAAGATGTATTTAAACTATTTAAAATATTTATAAAGAAATGAATGTTTTCTTTTCATTTTGGTAAAAAAAAAGGAAGCTTGCTGTTTTAACAAGAAATGCACTACTGTTATGTATAGTAGATCAAAAATTATTTATTATTAAGAGGATGTAGTTTCAAAAGGAATCTCCCTTTTATCTGCATGCAGTTTGCAACAAATGTACCCTCACACTTCTGAATTACAAAAGAAAAGTGAGGTCCTATTTTATTAATGAAATAAAAATATGGACTGAGAGTCAGTGACATGAGCTTCTGGTATGGTGGTAGGAAGGGCTGCATCAGTCGGCTGGTCCTGTCCATAACCTGAACTCAGGCAGATCCCACTGTGTTAGCAGATGTGTCTCTCCTCTGGGTATCATACTCTGTGGTTCAGAAAGCTCAAACTGGTCTGTAGAGCATGAGATCATAGTCCAGGCTGTGCTCCTTATGGCTCAAAGTGAGGAGGAAAACCCTGAATATGTCCTTCCTCGGTGTCTTTTTTTTTTTTTTTTTAAGAAGAGGCAGGGCCGGGGGTATAGCTCAGCGGCACAAGCACCTGCCTGGCAAGTGCAAGGTCCTGAGTTCAATTCCCGGTCCCTCCCCCACAAAAAAAAGCCCATCGGAAGAGGCAAACATTTCCAGCAACCATCTCCAAATGGAGCCACAACTTCTGAGCAGTGGCTGCTGGGAATGGTACCCGCTTGCCTTGGGTCAGCCCTTGACCTGTTCCCTTTCAGACTCCCACCAAACTGTAAGTTATGCAGAGCAGTTACTGGCATTCCTGTTTGGCAGAGGAAGGGAAAAAGTCCCAGAGATCACACAGCTAGGAGGCCAACACAGTCTAGGATCCAGAATGTTCCATACATCTCACACCAATCAACACGCAAATTCAGATGCCTGGTTGGGCCGTAATTTCACTTGAGTTGTATGTTATGCCTAGGAACACATCGGGCTTGAGCATCCCAGATTTTCCTAGAAGACGTGTTCAGTTCACATCCTGGAGTCCTCTTGTCTTTATTTCTTGCCACAAAGAATAAACAATCTGAGGATTGTATCGTTAAGAACATCTAAACAAACCAAAAGCTCTGGTGTTCTGAATCACGTAAGCTAAACCTAGCTAGAGCAGCAGAACAAAATCTTTTCTTAGAAAAGTGAACACAGTACATGTTTGTGAGGTACCTCGCTCAAGACTCATTGCCCTCTGCTCCCCACCCTCCAAAGTTCAAGCTCTCCCTAAGCTAAAAACTGAGGCAAAGGCAAAGCATTCCAGGTTTCATATGCTCGTTTAAATTCCTCCATTGTCTTGTCCTCTCTATGTAATAATTTTAAGTACCATTCAAAAGGAGCCCATGACTGTGGGTGCACTAATGTTCACCTGCACAACTAGCACTACCATTACTGAGGCCAACGATAATAACTAATGTTCTATTCTTCAGGTACTGTGTACCAGTGGACATTCACGAACTCATACACACCATGGTCTCATATCATCAGCAAACAATGCTAACAATTATTTGAGTGACTTGTTATCTTTATCCCTATTTTACAAATAAATGACTGGGACACAAATTCCTTTTTAATGATCCCGCCACATTGTTTTAAATGCTAGATCTAACAGCAGGGCCACTCTGGGTACCCCTTCTTGCAAATCCATCCTTTTTGCCTTTTGAAGCTTCATTGGTGAATAATTTATTTCAAAAATCAGGAATATAATATCTGTTTTCTTTTGTAAAGTAGGCAAAAAAAAAAAATATGGATGAATTAATTCAGCTCGGAGGGTCTGAAGAAGCCCCAGTGAAAGGGCTGGAAACATCCCCATGACTTTCCATTCAGTGACTTTTCCTGCCTTTACCCCTAACAGCTGATTCAGCAGGCTTAAAAACCAGCTCCCAAACCGGCACGGAATATCAGCTGAACAAGAATGAGTGGGCTTCTGGGAGCCAGAGTTCACACCAGTTTCTTACCCGCCTCTTCTGAATGAACCCACGTCATTTCTTCTTAACACTTTCCCTTGTCACCACATTGACAAATAGAACTCTGCCATATGCAAGGCAGCTAGGAATGAGACCACTCTATTTTATTTAGGTTATGCATGTTGTGATATGATTCTCTGAAGCTTTCCTAGTGTTGGATTTTCCAAACAGCAGTGTCACTATTCCAATAGCAGAGGCTTTTGTTGTTTCACTAAGGATGCATTTTTGGATTCTTACATTTTCCTCACCTACCCACCCTTCACTGAAAGAACAAAACAGGTTTCCACAGGGGACAAAAACAGTTATTTTTAATGAAATGTATTTTATTGAAAAGTAATATTGGGAACTGAAGGCTTCTGTGTAATTCTACTTTAAAAAGTAAAAACCAAGCGATCGATTATATGAGACTCTATACTCATTCACTATAAGAAGAATTTTCTGACAATTAGAACGACTTACAGTCTATTTTTTATCTTCACCAGGCAAAGTACACTCTCAGAGACTGTGGACTTCTGGGCAGGAACAGTACTTTCCAGAAGGGCTCTGCACTAGGTGTGAGGTTAGCAGAATGTCTACATTAGAATCACATGAGGTACATTTAAAATGCAGGAAATATGGCTTCAACCCAGGCCCTTTGGGTAAGGCCTGGAAATCTACCATTAGTAAATTCCCTGGTTGACTTACATACACTGAAAATGGATCTATACTCATCTAGAATAGACAGAAGTGCAATTTTGAGTTCTTCCTAATTCATACTAAGTGGAATAGCACCTGAATTCTATTAAAAACAGCTCTGAGTCCATAATTATATAATTGAGAGGCTTGATTAACTCCAAAATTAGTAGTTCTCAAATTTCTTTCAAACAGTATGTTTCTGGGGATCTTATTAAAAAAGGAGATTCAAGTCTCTGACCCCTCAGATGTACTAATATTGGATGTTCTGCAGAACAAACTCCAGAAGCATTGCACTGAGCAATATAATCATTTCTCTAGATAATGAGGAGTTGGTTCTATTGAATAAAACCCACTTAAAAGACACATTTTTGCAATACTATTTCTGCACAGTTCCTAACATACTAAAGATTTTTTTTAAAGCCATTGATCACTTTTCTTCAAGAGTGCTGAGAACATGCATCATTACTTCACCTGAAAACTGTGAACGCCTACCATGTGCCATACCTCACAAGTACCTCTAGGATTGTCCTAGGTTTTTGTTTCCTTGTTTCATTTGGGTTTGGGGGATGGAAAAGAAGGTGAAGATTCCTTTTCAGTGTTGTAAACTGGTCGGTCACTCCTAGATAGGCAGGAATCCTTTGTGAATGTGAAACAAGATAGCAGTGTAGTTGGAGGATAACAACTGCTGTGGATGGGGTGGAAATGCTAAGGTCACAATTATGACTTAATTAGTGAAAAGGAAACAAGCCCGCTTGAATAGTTCTTGCCAATGCTGCTTCTTCTGAAGTGTAGTCTATTTCTTAAGGTCACCTTTGAAGCCACTGATTTTATAACAAACATCCCTAATGCTCCAGAGTCTTCTCACCTGTCATTGCAACTAGAGCCTCAACACATGCACGGGCTGCGGTAAAGGCTGCCCCAAAAAGCTCTCTTGCCTGCTTCTTTCACTTTATACAAAGGCAAAGATGCTTCAGATAAATATGACTTGGAGATACAAGAGTGCTGAACGGACACAAAGGAGTGTGTGCTGGCAGCCATTCTTCCCTGCTCTGTGATCTCAGGAAGGTTACCGAACTCCTCTGAGCCTCAGCTTCTTCATATAAAAATTGCGGATTAAAATGAATCTAATTTGCAGGCTGTTTGTGGGATTTAACAGAGTAATTTATGTGAAACCGCATTGCTTGACATATACTGAATGCCAAGCAAATGTCAGTTCACCTCCCCTGGCCTTCCACCCCAATTCCTGTCCCAGTTGCCCCTCCTACCCTTCGTCCCTTCTCTCCCTCCTCATCCACCGCCTTTCTCTGCCTTCACCTCCTCTACCCCAGCTTTTGCCTGGTGGCCCCTTTTCTCCGTTCTCTTCTCCCTCTGTATCTTCTCTGCTCTCCTTCCCTTCCTCCTCTCCTCCTTCACTCAGTGTCCCAGGCTAACTTCTGGAAAATGAGAGCCCTTGACTTCTCTGCTGAAGTCACAGCCCAGTTTCCATACGACAGCCCCCACCATCCATATACAGTGTCATCAATTCAGTCAGCATTTACCTTTAAAAATAGAGAAGCTGAAACGGGCGTGGTGGCACACCCCTGTAATCGCAGTACTTGGGAGGCTGAGGCAGAAGGATCATTGTGAGTTCAAGACCAGCCAGGGCTACTAAGTGAGCTCAAGGCTACCCTGAACTGCATAGCGAGACCTTGTCTCAAAAAAAAAAAAAAAAGAAAAGAAGAAAGAAGATTTGAGAAGCCCACAAAGCAGCAAAATGTACTTCCTTGGCTCCCAGGCTGGACAACTCCAATGTGAGTGGCTTCTGCTCTGTTTATCTGACTTTGAATAAAGTCCTAAAGTTTTTACAGTTACAGGGAGATCTCAGAATATTGTTCACTAACATGAATATATTCCATAAATACTCTCCATCGGTTTTTGTTTGTTTGTGATGGGCCCATAACATGTCTCTATAGATTTGTCCTTGCTTCAGATATCTCACACACATTTACAGATGTCACACCCCCTCTCCCCAGGCCACAGAAGACCTGAGCCCTATCCGCCAAAGGTGAGAACGTTCTCTGTGGAAAGTGGCCTTGCTCCCTCGCGCTTAGCTCCTCTGGCTTGAAGCAGGGCTGATGAAACGTTCACCGCTTCGTGCGGATGCTTTAAAGTTTCCCTAGGTTCACGGCGAGTGAGTAGTTCCCTCCAGAGAGAGTAAGCTAAATGTCACTCCCTGTGGTTCGTGTCCTCAAAGAACCTGCTCTTTGGGTCGTGGCTTTCAACAGAGCCCTGAACAAAGAGCTA